AGCAAGTGCCTTTACCTGCCGAGCGCTCTTGGCAGGCCAGTGGTTTTCCAGTTTAAAAATATATAGCTGCTCTGTATTCCAGATACTAACTCGCTGTCTGAAGTGCAGTGCAAAGACTGTCTCCTGCTGTGAAGTGTTCCCTCTGCTGACGTCTCCATTCATTGTGCAGAAGCTCTCTCTCTACGTTGTCATGTGATCTCGTTTGCCAGCTCTTGGGGTTATGTCCTGTGCTGTTGAAGATCAGTCAGAAAGCTCTCCCCTATGTCTATGTCTCTGTTTTCTCTGTAATTGTCTCTAGCCTTTTCAACATTCAGGTTTTATGTTAAGGTCTTTGAGATGTTGGAATTGATTGTTGTGTGAATTGATAGGAATCTGTTTTATTTTTCTGCAGCCGGATATCAAGTTTAACCTGCACCATTTGTTGAATAGGCTATTTTTCCAGTGTATGCCTTTGACACCTCTGTCAGCAGGTCAGTGGCTGTCACTATCGGGGTTGACGTTTAGGTCTTCCTTTCTGTTTCATTGGTGTCTGCGCCTGCTTCTGTGCCAGCCTCATATGGCCTTTGTCACTGTGACTCTGTAGGTAATTTGAGGTAGGGCAGCGTGATGCTGTTAAGGGTTGTTCTTTCCGGTGAGGGCTTCTTTGACTGTTGATGCATTTTGTGTTCCTATTAGATTTCAGTTTTTTAATGTTCTATGGAGAATGTTACTAGAGTTTTGATGGGAATTTCATTGGATCTGTAGATTGCTTTTGTTAACATAACCATTTTCATGATAGTTTGTCTTTTGTGCAGGTGAACTTGTTGCTGTTTCACTTACTGAGTAACAGAATCAGATGAGCTGGGTTATAGAGGCTGTTGTTTTGTTTTTGTTCAAGTTGTGCTCTTTTTAGATGGAAGGAAACGCTCCTGAGCGTTGGTGGCACAGTTGCTCACTGAACTCATTTCCTGTGTGTGTCTCTGCCATTTGGAGAGTCCTGCTTCAGAAGCCGAGCCTCGGCACTACCTGGCATTTATCTTGCTTTCTCTAGAAGTAACTTTAGGTGTGAGGAGTGAAGCAGCATATCACGGACCTTAGCTTATAACCCAAATCCGCCTCCAGCAGTCCTGTCCTATGTTTGAGTCTGGGTTTCTCTAACTTTAGTGGCATTTAACAAATATTGATTGCTATAAATTGATAGGGTGGCTCTTACATTAGAGCTGGTTTTGTTTGTTTTGTTTTATTTTGCTTCAAGCCCTGACTCTCCTGGAACTCACTCTGTAGACGAGGCTAGCCTTGAATTCACAGAGATCCGCCGACCTCTGCCTCCAGAGTGCTGGGATTAAAGGCATGTGTGCCACCACCACCCAGCCAGACTGCTTTTTTTGGGGGGGGGGGATACTCAAAGGCATGAATTGAGTGGTAGCTGGAGAAGTTCTTTGGTGCAGACTAAATTAATCCTGTTTCCCCTTAGAAGGGTAGGAAAGTCATGGCTTAGGATGCCTGGGTAGGTCCATGGCACCTACTTCATGATCTGGGCAGCTGAGATTCCAGCTGACCCCTGGTTGGTAATTTCTCACCACTCTGGTATGTCCTAACATTGCCAAGGAGGGCGGCAGGATTTAGGGAACAGGAAATAAGCTGTTGGGAGATAAGGCGGGCAGCTGTGCACTGCAGACAGGAGAGGAAATGAGGATGAACAGGCCAAACAAACATTAGCAGTTCTACTTCATTTTTAAACCCAGAAGCAATGGAAAGACTTCTACTTCAGAGGTCTCCACCTCCTCAGTTGTGCCAATTAGAACACGGGGTGAAGAAGCTTGTGTGTAAGGACCACATTTCTAGTGATTGCTCCATCTCAACTCAGAATTCCAGAAGGACGAAGCTGAGTCAGAATGTCTTGTTTATCCAACAGTAGCAACTGTGTTATCTTTAAAAAAAACCTTACTTTAATATTAGAGATCATTTGAAATAGGTTTCTCCTCTGCTCTTTTGTGTTTGTGTCATTCTGTGACTGCAGGTTATTTCCATGAAGAGGTTTTTTCTCGATGATAACTAAGTATGTGATCACACACGGCAGTGCCCACCAGTGGCAGAAGCATCCATTTTACAGACACCCTTACAGTAGATAAATGTTCACTGTGCCCATCCAAAGAGATCATTTTAAAACTGCGCAGTCATGAATGCGGTGTTCCTGTTAGTCGCATTTCATTCTTTGATAGCCATTCTGAAATGGTTATGGGCTACTGGGAGGAAAGCTTGTCAGTAGAGACCAGCTTGTAACCAGCCACACATGTGTGCAGTGTCTTGCTCAGGCCAAATCACTGTCAGATCTGAAGGGAGTAAAGGAATTTGGCTTTATTGACTGTTAGGAAATTCTGAATTTTATGATACATTCAAATGTCATTGTGAAGACTTAAGCTGTTGATTTAAAAACAAATCAACTAGATTTACGTAAGTGAATCTTAATTTGTTGCTGTCTTACCCATACCTGTGAAGACCTCACCTCTGTACATTTGCAACTCTTTAATTATGGATTGTGCCTGTTGAGTAATCTGAACTCTGGGGCCAGAGATGCCTTAATTTCTTTCTTTGGCATCTAACAGTGTTTAGCTCATCTTAAGCATACAGGCAGTATTTACTGTTGTTAAAGTGCCTTTGGGAATTTTGATACGTATTAAAGCTTCCAATTTTATTATCATTTTAGAAAACACTAAAAATAGCACGAATCCTGCATTGACAGTGATAGCCACAGCACATATGCAGAGCTGGCAGAGTAAGGGAGGAGTCTCAGTCAGTGCTGGGCATGGCTGGATGGGACAACTGGGGGATTTCTTTGTGTCTGCATCCTTGCAAGTTGACTGGAGTGGGGTAGCCATCAGCTGGATTGAGTTAAAGATTGCTGGGTTCAAAAGATCAAAACTTGCAGGGTGATGGTGGCACACATCTTTATTCCCAGCACTTGGGAGGCAGAGGTAGGCGGATCTCTGTGAGTTCAGGACAGCCAGGGCCACACAGAGAAACCCTGTCTCAAAAAACCAAAAAATAAAATAAAATAAAATCAAAACTTAGTTTTCAGTAGTGTTATAAAGATGCCATAATCCTTTTTACCTCTTAAAAAAGTTGAGGTAAGCAAACTAGGATCAGCCTAAGGTCTCCAGATGAGGTGTACCCACTGCATAGTTAGAAGTACAGCATTGTGTATTGCTGGTCTGGAAGGAGGAAGTACTGCAGACATGAGGAGGGGCTGGCGTTGGGGGAGGTCCATTAGACCTCAGGTTCCCTTCAACTTGCGAGTCTAAGGCGGAGCTTGGAAACCCATTACAGTGCACAGCTCAGGAGAGATGAGAGGAGTGTCCTGATTGACTGGAGTGCTTTTGCTCATCAGTGACAGTCCTCCACCGACACATCAGAGCCGTCCATGTGCCTGTGGCTGCTCTGAGCTCACCGATCGTGGTGGAAGTGATTCATAGCCTCCAACTCAACATTAGCCACATAGCACAAGTGCGGTAATGACACTGAGTTCATCGCTGTCACCAGGTGGAGACAGCCACGGGGGCAGTCACGTGGTGAACCTTGAGATACTGGTTTCATGGCTCAGATTCTTGGGACTAGGCAGCTGCACACTGCTGCATGGATGTTCCTGACCCTTATCATTGGGACTCCCAGACTTTCCACGTGTATGCTATGTAGACTCACAAACCACCTGGCAGACTTCCTGCCTTTTTAAATTTTGTTATTATTAAGTCTGGTGTTTATGACGAGGAGGGCACACGTGCTATCACACACTTGTGTGGAGGTCAGAAGGCAGATTTGTGGATGGTTCGCTCTGTGTGCCTCTACTCAGGTTCCAGGGATCAAATTTTGGTTTCTACGGTTGAAGAAGTACCTTTACCCATGGAGACGTATTACTGTCCCTAGACTTTGTACCTTTTTAGATTAAAAAACAAAACAAAAAATAGTGTTTATAATTGAGAAAGATGGAAGAAATTTCTCTAGATTTAAGATTTTCAAAAATTATACTTTTAAGTTCTTTTTAATTAAAAATTAGTTGTGTATATTAATTTTACAAAAGGAGTTAGGTTCCCATACTCAAAGTTAGAAGCTGTTTTAGTCACTGTCCTATGACTGTGAAGACACACCACAACTAAGGCAACTCTTATGAAAGTAACATTTGATTTGACGCTTGCTTATGGTTTCAGAGGCTTAGTCCATTATCTTCATCATGGCAGGGAACGTGGCACAGGAGCAGTGCCTGATCCAGAAGCACAGAAAAGGGGGGGGGGGAGACAGACAGACACAGACAGACAGAGACATTGGCCCTGGTGTGGGCTTCCGAAATCTCAAATTCCACCCCCAGTGACATACTTTCTTCAACAAGGCCACACCTAATCCAGTAATGCCACACCTCCTAATCCTTCTAATCTTTTCAAATAGGGCCACTTCTGGTACCTAATCATTTTTGAGGATGATATGAACCTCTGGGGGTCATTCTCATTCAAACCGATACAGAAACTTATAACTTCATGTTTTCCCTCAGAAAAGCCCAAAGTGACTTAAATGTTTCAACTGTGTGTTTTCCACAGTGACTTTGTTAGATGATGAGATGTTCAGAAATAAGATAGTCCAGAAAAGATAGAAAATTAAGCCTCATCTTTCCTTTTTTCTGTACTAAACAAATAATGCATGATTCAAAAATGGTAATTATGTGAAAATCACTTCTCTACAGTACAGGACCAGCAAATGAGAGATCATCTCCACCTGTGAGAGACAGGCGCTGGTTTCAGGCGGGGCCTTTGTATTCATGTCGGGGTATATGTTTCATTGTTTGTTCAGGTGCCTTCTGTCTTCTAGGACATGGCAAGTGTGTCTTCTTGCCATTGCAAGAGTGTCTGGATTCATGTGGACTTTACCCAGCTCCTATGCTAATCCCTACAGTCTCCCATCCTTTTCCTGTTTAGTTCTGGGATTTGAATCCTTATGGAAATGAACTTGACCAGCTGTTTTTCTTGCTTTTCTAGGTTGTGCTGGTGAGATGGAATGAGCCGTACCAGAAACTGGCCACATGTGATGCAGATGGAGGGATATTTGTGTGGATTCAGTATGAAGGCAGGTGGTCTGTGGAACTGGTCAATGACCGTGGGGCTCAGGTGAGTAGATGGTAGACTTCTTCCAGTGAAGCACTGCTGCTTAGAGGTCACCAACTTAAAAAAAAATATGGGGCCTGTAGAGATGCTCAGTGGTTAGGAGCGCTTGAGTATTTAAATGAGGCTGTGATGCTCAGTGGTTAGGAGCGCTTGAGTATTTAAATGAGGCTGTAGAGATGCTCAGTGGTTAGGAGCGCTTGAGTATTTAAATGAGGCTGTGATACTCAGTGGTTAGGAGTGCTTGAGTATTTAAATGAGGCTGCAGAGATGCTTGGTGGTTAGGAACGCTTGCTTACTAGTCTTGCAGAAGACTTGGGTTTGGTTTTCAGTACCTATATGGTGTCTGTGGCTCAGAACCATCTAGAACTCCAGTTCTGGGGGGCCCAATACCCTTTTTGGATCTCTGTGTGCACTCAGCATGTACATGGTATACATACATATATGCAGACAAAAAGCTAATACACTTTAGCTAGATGGATAATTACATCACTGCAGAGACCCTATAAGCAATGTTAGGAAGGTCTCTGTCTCACAGAATTCATAAAGAGTTGCTATCTCCACACCTCAAATTTGACTTTGGGGATACCATGCGGCTACTGTTTTGACAGGTAGGCCCTATGCTGGGGGCTGTGAGGCAGTAGCACTGTGAGCCTACAGGTCACACACAGGGACCATTACTGTCACCTTGTTATAGATGTGGAAACAGGCCCAAACAACTACCTTGCACTTAGAAATCAAAGGCTGGGCTTCTGCCCTGTGCTGTTTGACCACAGAGCTCGTGCCTGTGGCCTTGCAAAGTGACATGCACTTCTCATGGACTTGTGGACTACTGCATTTGCAGTTTCCTTCTGAAATGCTTAGTGTCACAGGGCAGGTGCCATTTCCTCCTTTCCTCACTCTGAGGCATGATGGAAACAGATGAGGCTTTATCAGTGCCAGGAGACCCCATTCTGCTTACCTACTAAATGAGTAATCTCACACACAAAAAGAGTGCTCTCTTTTCACAGAGGCAGACCTCCTGTGGTGAACTTCCTGCCAGAGCCTCAGTCTAATCAACACCGACAATACTATCTTTATGCATTGGAATTTTATCTCACCCGATTGTCTGTGTCTTTCAAATATGGGAAGCTTATAACTAATCTAAATACCAAGTGAGAAAGGAGCAGATGATGGTCTGGTAAATTAGAAATGTACAGGGAGACCATCGCAGGAAAATAATTAAAACAGTGCAAGAAGCCTTCATTAGGAACTGCTTCCGGAAGACAAGAGCCACCTCTGACGAGTGTCCTTAAACACCAGAGAGGAGCAGTCCTGGCCAGGCCAGCCTCACATGGAAGGTAGGAGCTGGAGGGCAAGCCAGACAACCCAAGGCCAGTTCTGTCATAGCAGTTGCTTAACAGGAAGTCCTTGGAGTGACTGCTTGCCTCAGAGTAAAGACAGAGTGCGTCAGAAAGGAGCTAAGGGTGACACCAGGCTATGAGAAGCAATCACAGAGATGAGCATATGGACTAAGACAGCAAAGGGGTGACCACCACAGGTGCCTCAGAGAGTCCAAACTCAATTCAGAGCTACTGGCCCAGCACCTGCGTGCCTGCATGCAGCCACATCTTATACATCTTACGAGCCAGTAGTGAACTCACCCTCTGGTGCTGTGAACAAGCCCCCAGTGAAATGCTTGCCCTCATGACCCTCTGCTGCTGTAAACAAGCCCCCAGTGAAATGCTTGCCCTCATGACCCTCTGCTGCTGTGAACAAGCCCCCAGTGAAATGCTTGCCCTCATGACCCTCTGCTGCTGTGAACAAGCCCCCAGTGAAATGCTTGCCCTCATAAGACTTACTTTGGTGGTGATGACTAAGACATATGCTACAAGTGCTGGTTTTATTCCATGTGTTTTCCCTCAAGCTTCATAGGAACTTTATTCTGAAAATTTGCTATTCTCAGCAGATAGAAGACAAAAAAATCTAAGGTGTTCAATAATTTGTCCAAGGATGCTAATGGGCATGAAAAGTGAGAACCCAAACCCCATTGTCCTAAAACATCCTACCTCATTGTTTCTAATAGAAACAAAACAAAGCTCCAAACCATTCTGTTTCTCTTTGGCAGAAATCCATGTGTTCACATTATATCCCAAACTGCCCAGACTTTATTATTGTTTGAAAGACTTACCCTGCCAGCCAGGCTGCAGCACGACTCCAGCACTATCCTTTCTCGGCAAGGGACCCCCCCACACACACACACTCCAACCCCATTATCTCCATCTGGCAGCTGTGTAATTGATATGCCTGTCACATCCTTCCACGATTTTTCCCATAGAGACTTTAGAACAGACATGTCAGATTTAAGAGAAGTAGAGTGACATCATCCCTGGGGGCAGGTGAGCTGATGTGGACTATAGAACACCTGGCTGCACTCAGTCCTCACAGGTGACTGTGCCTGCAGGTGCTACTGAAGTATTGCTTTAGCTTGTGACATTGATATTTTTTTCTGTTCTTTTGCTGTTTAAAATTGATTCTTCAAACCCTAGAAGCTATGAGCAGTTGCTGTCATTAAATACTGACATTTGGGGGAGTCCTGTTTGCTTTTGATAATGTTAGAGTTAGGCTGGCTGACATTAATTTTAGAAATGCACACACAGATAATGCTGCTCCCTGGTTGAGGCAGTGTGTGCACAGCACAGCACACCTGGAAAGTGTCTGGCAGGAAACAGTGTTGGAGGCGGAGCAGCTTGAGTCAGCTCAGAGAAGAGCCCGGCTGCTTAGGAGGAGCAGCAGATGATCTGCTGAGAGCGCAGGGTAGTGGAGCCGTCGGCAGAGCCGGTGCTGGAGTTGTTCCTCAGGAAATGGTCATGAGGCCATTATTTCAGAGTGGGTGTGGAACAGTGCATGCATTCTTCTGCAGCGTTCGTTAGTCACCAAGGATGGCTCTGCCAGGCACAGACTCCGAGGGGCTGCTGGAAAGCTGCCTCAGGCAGTGGTGTGGCCAAGTGCTGCTCAGCTTCAAGTAACCTGAGGCTCCTCACTGAGCGAGGCTGGCAGGTCTTTGCAACCCCAAAGAGCCCCAAAGAGGGGCTTCTGCTATTTCTTCTAGCATTTCGTACATACTTGTTCTCCAGTGTTGTTTTTCCAGTTTGGGAAGAGGGAGACAGGCACAGGTGGAGGTGGGTTGGGGTGGTGTTAGTTTGGATTGACTCTACCATTGAGGTACACCCCAAGTCCTTGGTTCTCTCAGACACCACCTCCCTAAGTACGGACCTTCTGCTGGCTTGAGTTCCTAATCCCCCTGCTTCTATTCAGCAGGCTTATTTCAAATCAGAACGCTTTGTATAACAAAGGAAATGACAGCCTTTATAATGTGGGATGTTTGCAAACTATGTATCTGACAAGAGGTTAATATTTAGAGTTGCAAGGAATACAACAGAAAAAAACCAAGATGATCCAATTAAAAACTGGACAATAGACCTAAATACATACTTTTGAAAAGAAAGCATATGCATAGACAGCAGGTGTATGAAGAAATGTTCAAAATCAGTAACGTTGGAAATGCACATCACAACCCCAGTGAGATGAGATGCCTGCTGTCAGAGACCCTGTACTAGTAAGAACATGCACCCTGTGCTGGCTAGTGTCACGTGAACTTGACACACACTTACCTGGAACGAGGGAGGGAGCCTCAATTGAGACCATGCTTCCTTAAGACTGGCTGTAGGCATTTTCTTAATTAGTGATTGATTGTGAAGAGAGCTCAGCCCATTGTGGGTGGTACCATCCCCGGACAGGTGGTCCTGGATTCTATAAGAAAGCAGACTAAGCAAGCCATAAGGAGCAAGCCAGTAAGCAGTATCCCTCCATGGCCTCTGCATCAGCTCCTTCTCCAGGTTTCTGCCCTGTTTGAGTTCCTGTTCTGATTTCCCTCATTGATGAACTACAGTGTAGAAGTGTAAGACAAATAAAAATAAACCCTTTCCTCCAAAACTTGTGTTTTGGTCATGGTGTTTCATTGCAGCAATAGAAACCCTAACTAAGACACATGCTCTTGTGAGTGATGTTAGTACAGCTGTCATGAAGAACACTGTAGAAGTTACTCCAAAGATTAAAGTTGGAGCTGCCATATGATCCTCAGACTGTTGATTAGTACACACAGCAGAATGCTATTCACCCATAAAGGGATGAAATTACTCATTCGCACCCGTGGGTGGAATTGGAGGTCGTTGTGTTACAGAAGTAAGCTGCCACAGAAAGACAAGTACCACATGGTATTATGGTCCAATTCTGAAAAGTGTCTTTTCATAGCTGGGTCAGAGGTCACTACCGGAAGCTAGGGAGAGAAGGAGAGATGGGAGAGGCCGGGCAGTAGACCGGTCAAGCGCACGCACTTGTGGCCCTGCTGGTCACTACACAGTAGAGCAGGGCTGCTTTACTTCGTCCACTTAGGACCTCTTCTCTCCCATGACATACTTGCAGGATAAATATATACAATGGACATGTAAATAAAATATTTACTGATGTAAGTCATAAAAATTTACTTTAAAACAATTCATGTACATATACTTTTTTCACTTATTAAAGACAGGGCAAAACGAGATGAATGTGTTCATTTTTTTCTCTGAAAAATTAAATATTGGCTGTGCATGATAGGTTATAGATATAATCCCAGCACTTGGGAGGCAGAGGCAGGAGAATTGCTCAAAGTTTGAGGCCAGACTAGACTATATACCAAATTCCAGGCCAGTGGGAGACCACATAGGGAGAGCTGGCATGTGGGGGGAAGAATTGAATCTTAGCTGAGTATTTGACGCTGCAGTGTCTTCAGTAGACTTTGGAATTGATCACTATTTGGATCTTAAATTATCAATACTGGAAATGTCCTTTTGCATAAATATGTGGCACAAGATGGCAGAAGTATATGTAGTCCACGTTGGAAATTGTTGGAAATTCTGTCCTAATCCCCAGCTAAAATTCATGAATGTCTCTATGAAACTCTAGTCAGCAGCTAAAATAGAAATTTTAAAACTCAGACATTCTACCACAGTGTGATCCAAAGATCACTCATATGCTACATACTGAAGGATAGCGGTAGAATGTATGAAAGGTCTTTTAAAAAAGAAGTGAATATTTGTGCACAAGAAAAAGCTTTGCATGTGAAGTAAAGACAGCTCAGTCTTACGGTGTAACAGACTTGAGCCTGGTGGAGTTAGGTGCATCAGGCCGCACTCCCTGCTGTCCCAAGCACACTGGGGCTGTGCACTGTTCACGTGTGGGTATCGCATGGCCAGAACCAAGCCTGTAGTGAACTCTCACCATGCAACACGCAGGCTCTGGCAGAAACACCATGGGCCCATTATGTATTGGATTTTGGATTAATTTTTAGTCATTGCATGCCCAGAAACATTCTCTATTCCTGCCAAAAGTTTGGAAACCTTATATTCCACTATTTGACCCCATATGAGATTATAAGTAGGTTTAAGAAGCCAAACAATAGTACAATAACTAATGTACTATTTACTGCTTTTTGGCTTTGGCTGTGTGCTTTAGCTTTCTAAGACATTCCTCCCTTTATCGTAACTGTTTCATGACGCATAGTTAAAGTACATGTAAAGAATAGCATGATCTTTGGGGAAAATGTCAAATTTACTGCCAGTGTAATATGCTGTTTCTGGAAACTTCATGTTCGTCATAGAAACTAGATCCTGTAAGTGGATAGAACGCAATCTAAAGCTAGAGCTCTGAGTTTTCCTAGAGAAGCGACTTTATCAGGTGACTTAGAACGGCTGTGGAAGGCCGTTCCACAGATCAGGGCCATGGCATTGTAGACACTGCTAATCAGTGCCAGCCTGCAGCCCTGCTGAGAAAACAGTTGAAAGGCTTTTCTTTGCTGTTTGTCTTTTATTTCTTGAAATGTAATATATTCTTAGCAATGTCACAAAGTTTTTAAAAGAATATTTCCAACAATAAGCAACAGTAAAGATTATGATTAAAAAGAAACCAACAGTAGTACAACTGAAAAGTAAATGAAGGATCAAATACATCAATGAACAGAATAAATATGAACAAACTACCAGCACTCGGGAGGCAGAGGCAGGCGGATCTCTGTGAGTTCGAGGCCGGGCTGGACCGACAGCCTCCAAAACAATACAGAGAAACCCTGTCTTGTAAAAACCAAAAAAAAAAAATAAATAAATAAATAAAATAAAATAAAATAAAAAATATGAACAAACTAAATTCAATTAAAAATAAAATTGGACAGATTCTCCTTTTAAAAGCCTAGGTGGGACCCAGAGCTGGCTCTGATGAAGACGTGCTTTGCATGAACGGCGAAGCCCTGGGTTTTACCCTTGGCTCCACTTACCAAATCCCTGTGAGCATGGCCTAGTGTTTCGCTCCTGCTTTTTTGTTTAAGATTTAATTTTTATGTACATGGGAGGTTCTTTCTGTAAATTAACCCATTATTCGTGGCTAGGCAGGTGTCAGGCGGCAGCACTTCTGGTCTTTGAGTTCCCTCAGTCTTCTGATGGCAGACTCCACTGTGAAGGCAGAGGTCATGACCCCACCAGCCATGTTTTCATGCAGGAGCCACAGTGACAGGTGCCAATGGCTTGTCTCTTCATCTTGGTTTTAGCACAGAAGGAGCAAGTATACTTGGCTGGGGTGCTGACTGATTTCAGTTTTCTTCACCATTTTCTGGAGAGAGGCACCATAGCTGGTCCCATGGTTCCCAACGACCCTGACCTTCTTGGTGCATTTAGCCATATCGCCGGAACCTAAGTCCCACGTACATTGGGGTTGTGCCTGCATGAGGATGACTGATTCCCCTGGAACTGGAGTTACAGGCTGTGGTGAACTGCCGTGTTGGTGCTGGGAATCGAACCCAGGTCCCAGGTCTCTTGGAGGATCTGCCAGTGCTCTTAACCACTGAGCCATCACTCCAGTTCCCCAGGGGTACAATCGTGTAATATCAATGCTTTAGGAAGCTGAGCCAGGAGGATTGCCTGAGTTCAAGGGCACCAGGCTGGTGTACATATGTCAGCATAGCATTCTCTGTAAGGCTCTGTCTCACAACAGACTCCCCCAAATTCCTGCATATTTGAAAACAGTTAAATATATTTTAATAACATATATCAAGTCCTGTGTCTGTGGGTAATGATGGCAGCAGTGACAGCAGCTCGTGCCTTTAATCCCAGCACTGAGGAAGCAGAGGCAGACAGATCTCCGAGTTTGAGGTCAGCTTGTTCTACAGAGCAAATTCCAGGACAGCTGGGACTACACAGAGAAATCCTGTCTCAGGGGTGGGGGTGAGAAAGAAAAAAAAAAACCCCAGTCAAATCCTGTGTCTGGGGCCTGGAGTAATTAATTAGCTCAGTGGTCACCAAATCTGGAGGACCTGTGTTTGGTTCCCGTGCCCACCAACAGCAGGCAGCTCACAGCCGCCTGTAATGTCACATTCAGGGGACTTGGTGCTTTCCTCCGGCTTCTGTGCACATGCCCTCAGACACACATGTACACATTTTTAGAATTCTGTATTTGCAAATTGTGAGGACACGGTTAAATGGTTAAAGTCCATGGTTGGAATCAAGGTTGCTATCAAGTAATTACTACTGAGCTGCCCTTGTAGCCCAGGCTTGATTATTTGCACACTGCCCCCACCCCTGAGTTATGAGAATAGTGAAATATTGAAAAACCCATAGAATTGATGGAAAAGCAGCTTTTGAATGTATTTCTGAATAACACTGAGTCACTCGGGACTCAAGTCTAAGCGTTCCACCCCTTCACTGTGATCAGAGGATTCCTTCCTAGTACTGTGAGAGAAGTACAAGAGTAGGACTTTACTATTCTGTAAGTGACCAACAGATGAGGATGGAGAATCTGCCACTAACCATACAGGAGGCTGTGTGGGAAAGGCCAGCGCTCTGGGGCCGGGGTCTTGCGATGACTCAGCTCTCTCCCTCACTGGCTGTATGGCCAAGGTCAAGTGATTTCACTCCTATCCGCGCCTTCGCTTCTCTGTAGATGAAGTGATGCTACTTCCTTGGAGGCTGTTGTAGGCTGAATGAATTCAAGTACAGAAAAGCCCCAGACAGTACTGACGCACAGTTCCTGCTGTGTTTTGGCGCAGATGTTTACTGTGCTGCCCTCCCTCTTTACCCATCTTCCCGCTCCTCCACAGAGCTGGGTCTAAAACTCAGGGTCTTGCTGACCTGACACCCAGTACATACCCAGCTCCTGGGGATTGGGATGGATTAGCTGTTGCTGTTTTGGTTTTGTTTTCTTGATGAGGGGTTGATTGGTTGGTTTTGTTTGTTTGAATTTTGAGACAAGGTCTTATCTTGGAGCTAAAGTTGATCTGGAACTCACTGTGATAGCTTGCGGTGTGCCATAGTCCAGGAATGTGTCACCGTCTCTGGCTGCTGTAGCCTTCCCTTTTATAGTGTTGTCTTTAGGCCATCTTGATCTTAAACAGAAGCGTAAATTAATTATCATGCCCCAGCTTTGATGAAAAGTGTTTTCCCTTTCATGCTGTAAACTGACCTTTATATGTCTTTAAGGTGAGTGACTTCACATGGAGCCACGATGGGACTCAAGCGCTTATTTCATACCGCGATGGCTTTGTCCTGGTTGGTTCTGTCAGTGGACAAAGACATTGGTCTTCTGAAATCAACTTGGAAAGCCAGATCACGTGTGGCATATGGACTCCTGACGACCAGCAGGTAATGCTCTGAAATGTCGCTGTGCACTGTTACTGTAGCAGGTTGAGGGGGAGACTGAGGGCACCTCTTAACAGCACCACAAATCACTGAGGACACCATTTGCCATTGTAAAAGCTTGTCAGGCATGCATAAAGCCCGGAGTTCCTTTTCCAATGTAAAAGCTTGTCAGGCATGCATAAAGCCCGGAGTTCCTTTTCCAGCACTGAAGGGAAAGATTAAACAAGAACACTGTCCAGGTGAAAATTAAAATATGTAAATGAAACGAAAGTTTAAAGAAATCCTAATGTGGTAATTCAGCTAATTCTTTTCATTATATAAAATGTTCATATAAATTCATTTTTAAAATCCAAAAAAACAGCCAATTGATCAGTAGGTAACAAGTAGAAAAGAAAATTCAACTAATGTCATAGCGTGGAAAAATATTCCTCTGTGAGAAAAATTAGTACAGTTCACTTATGAGTAGTAATAAAAAGATAACACAGATGGTGCTGAGGTTATTGGGCCGGTATGTGAACAGTGTCCCCATCACCTCTGGTCAGGGAAGCAGTTGACCAGTGTCTGTCATCCACTCTGGGAATATACTTTCAGGATTCTGAGAGCCAAAGCAGGATGTCCAGCTGTACTCATAAGGCTCTCTGTGTGGTAGGGAAGCAGGGCCTTACCCAGAGTAGGTGCGTACAGTGTGGCTAGGCCACTGACGGATCATAGTTATGAGAATGGCAGACCAACAGAGCTCTTAGCAGATCAGGGAGAAACAGGATATGAAGGGCTTGTCATGCGTTGCCACACTGTAAACTGCCCCAAGGGCCCCTGAGCCAGTGAGAAGGTCCTGGAGGGTGTGATGGGAGGCTGTGAGTCAGAGCCCCAAGTGCCTTCATGACAACAAGGCTCTGCTTGCTTTCCTCAAGTAGAATTTCAACTGTTCCTTTGTTGTCCCTATTGGTTTCAATGGTAAAATAGCACAATGACTCATTCATAATACTGGTTATTGATCATTTTAAAATATATTATTGGTTTCTTCACCTTCTATACCTATTGTTCTTTTTTGTTTGTTTGTTTGTTTTATGAGACAGGGTTTCTCTGTATTGTTTTGGAGGCTGTCGGTCCAGCCCAGCTTCGAACTCACAGAGATCCGCCTGCCTCTGCCTCCCGAGTGCTGGGATTAAAGGAGTGCGCCACCACCGCCCGGCCACCTATTATTCTTAAGTTTGGTCTTTTCACAGTGTCCCATATTTCCTGGATATTTTGTGTTAGAGATTTGTTGGACTTAAATTTTTCTTTGGTTGATGAATCTAATTCCGCTAGTGTATCTTCAACACCTGAGATTCTGAAAATTTTCTTTGGTTGATGAATCTAATTCCGCTAGTGTATCTTCAACACCTGAGATTCTGTCTTCCATCTCTTGTATTCTGTTGGTTATGCTTGCATCTGTAGTACCTGACCGTTTTCCCAGCTTTTCTATTTCCAGCATTCCTTCAGATTGTGTTTTTTTTTTTTTTACTGTTTCTATTTCAGATTTCAGCACCTGCACTGTTTGAATTGTTTCTTGCAATTTTTGCTTTGTCTTTTCTTCCATTTCTTGCATTTTTTGGATTGTTTTTTCTTCCATCTCTTTAAGGGATTTTCTCATATCCTCTTTGAGGGCCTCTATCATTTTCGTGAAGTTGTTATTAATGTCATGCTCTTCTGCTTCATTTGTGTTGGGGTGTTCCAGTCTTGTTGGTGTAGGGTATCTGGACTCTGGCAATGTCATATTGGTTTTTCTGTTGCTCCTTGTGTTTTTATATTGTCTCCTTCCATCCATTCTTGCAGTGGGTTCCAGAAGGTGCCTCTTCCTGGTGTGGGACCAGGGTTCCCTTCTGGTAGGTGTAGGCAAGTCAGAAGACATGCCAATGAAAGTACAAGAAGCTTATAGAACACCAAATAGAGTGGACCAAAAAAAAAAATTCCCTCGACACATAAAAATCAAGACCCCAAACATACAGAATAAAGAAAGAATATTAAGAGCAGCTAGGGAAAAAGGACAAATAACATATAAAGGCAAACCTATCCGAATTACACCAAACTTCTCCATGGAAACTCTGTAAACCAGAAGGTCCTGGATAGATATTCTCCCAACATTAAAAGACCACGGATGCCAGCCAAGACTGCTATACCCAGCAAAGCTCTCAATAAATATAGATAGAGAAAACAAGATATTTCATGACAAAACCAGATTTAAACAATGCACATATCCACCAACCCAGCCCTACAGAAAGTTCTGGAAGGAAAACTCCAACCCAAGGAAGTTAACTACAACCAGAAAAACATAGGCAATAGATAATCCCACTTTACCAACAGGTAAAAGGAAAAGTGGTGGAAATCCACATACAAATCCACTACCACCAACCATTCTAAAACAAACGAGAATGAGCTATCAGTGGTCATCAATTTCCCTCAAAATTAATGGTCTTAACTCTCCCATAAAAAGACATAGGTTAACAGAATGGCTTCGAAGACAGAACCCATCCTGCTGCTGCATACAAGAAACACACCTCAGCTTCAAAGACAGATGATGCTTCAGAGTTAAGGGTTGGGAAAAGATTTTCCAATCAAATGGACCCAAGAAACAAATGGGGGTAGCAATCCTAATATCTAACAAATAAGACTTTTAACTAAAATCAATCAAAATAGATGAAGAGGTCACTTCATACTCATCACGGGAGAAACCCACCAAGATGAAATCTCCATTCTGAACATCTATGCCCCAAATACAAAGCCATCCACGTTCGTAAAAGAAACATTACTAAAACTCAAAGCACATATAAAACCTCACACTCTTGTATTGTAGTGGGAGACCTCAACATCCCACTCTCACCACTAGACAGAAACTTAACAAGGATACAAAGGATCTAATAGAAGTTATGGCCCAATTGGATTTAACAGACATCTATAGAACACTCCATCCAAACACAAAAGAATATACCTTCTTTTCAGCTCCACATGGAACCTTTTCAAAAATTGACCACATACTTGGCAACATAGAAAACCTCAACAGGTACAAAAAAATTGGAATAACTCCATGTATCTCATCAGACCACCATGCTTTAAAGTTAGAATTCAACAACAACAATACAAATAGCAGATGCCAGGAAATAATTAAATTGAGAGCTGAAATCGCAATCTAGTAGAAACTAGGAAAACGATACAAAGAATCAATGTAACAAAAAGTTGGTTCTTTGAGAGTGTGAACATGCAAATTAACAAAATCAGAAATGAAAAGGGGGACATAACAACGGACACTGAGGAAATCCAGAGAATCATCAGGTCATATTTTGAAAAGCTATACTCCACAAAATTTGAAAATTTAAAGGAAATGGACAATTTTCTGCATAGATATCACTTACTAAAATTGAATCAAGAACAGATAAGCAATTTAAATAGATCTGTAACACCTAAGGAAATAGAAGCAGTCATCAAAAGTCTCCCAATCAAAAAAAGCCCAGGCCCAGATGGCCTCAGTGCAGAATTTTACCAGAAACTCAAAGAACAGGTTATACCAATTCTCCTCAAAGTATTCCATGCAGTGGAAGCAGAAGGGTCTTTGCCAAACTCTTTTTATGAGGTGTCAATAACATTGATACCAAAGCCACACAAGGACTCAACTAAGAAAGAGGACTTCAGACCAATATTCCTCATGAACATTGATGTAAAAATACTCAATAAAATACTGGCAAATCGGATCCAAGAACACATCAGAAAACTCATCCACCATGATCAAGTAGGCTTTATTCTAGGGATACAGGGATGGTTCAATCAATCAATGTAATCCAACAAGCTGAGAAACAAAAATCACATGATCATCTCACTAGATGCTAAAAAAGCCTTTGATAAAATCCAACACCCCTTCATGATAAAGGTCTTGGAGAGATCTGGGATAACAGGAACATACCTAAACATGATAAAAGATATATACAGCAAACCAACAGCCAACATCAAATTGAATGGAGAGAAACTCAAGGCAATTCCTCTAAAATCAGGAACAAGAGAAGACTGTCCCCTCTCCCCATACCTCTTCAGTATTGTACTGGAAGTTGGATTTGCTTCGTGTTAGAAGTCTGTGTTGTGTTAGGGAGTGCAGCCCTGTCTGGGTATTGGGTAGTGGATGAGGACTGTGCATATTTTACTCGGGCTACCATAGCAAAGCACCACAGGTAGGGTGGCTTAGCCAGCAGAAACTCACTTTTCATGGTTCTGAGGCTGAGGTCAAGACTGAGACACTAGCATTGTGTCTTTGGCTTATGAATGGCCAGTGCTTACAGTGTCCTTACGTGTCTTCCACAAGACACCTGCAGCCTTGGAGTCTCTCTCCCAGGATGCCTATACCTGTTGGATTAGACTGTCACTGTCATTTATTCAGCACTAGTATAAACCATTCAGTAAACTTGGGAAGTGTTTATATTAGAACATGTATTTATATTAGAACAATTGTAGGGTTTCTGGGGAAGGATGGCATACATAAAAAAAATAACAGATATGATCAGCAAAAGAGTCTGTAGGTCGTACACTGGTCCAGGGTGATGAAGCAGTGATGTTTTTGTCATTGTAAGAACCCACTGACATTGGTTTCCTGTGTCTTCTTGGGTTTGGGAGACCAGCCCATTTGAATATGAAAGTGCTTTGAAACATAGACATTTGCACTATTGCACCAGTGGGTTTAAGGTCTTGGCCCCCTGTGCTGCCACTGATGAATGTTGCTGAGAGCTTGACATTGATCTCCCTTCTTCAGAAAGGCAAACGGAGTAACAGCCCTCCAGCTGCTGACCAGACAGGCTTTGTCTGTCTGACAAAAGCCTCAAAATCAAATATTGGGAATGTATTCTAAAAGATGAATGCATACCTGTAGTAACATGGGAAGAGATTCTGTGGTCTTGTTTTTCCTGGAAGAATCCCAAGAAAAAACAGTCCCCAGGGACTTTCCTCTGATGGCGACAGGGTGCCTGCCGCAGGACTGTGTGCTG